AGTTCCACCAATGTTGCAGTTTGCTAGAAAGCTCTCTCTCTCTCTCTCTCTCTCTCTATATATATATATATATATATATATATATATATATATATATATATATATATATATTTATATATTTACAAATGACTAAGTAAGACTTATTCTTTAGAGGAAATCAAAAATTTGAATATAGCATACTGTTTACATTGTTTTTCTCAATTTTGTCCCTTACTTTTGGACCTTCCAAATTTGAAAATAAATAAATAATTGTTATAATTCTTTTTCTATCCTTTGCAAATGATTCAAATTTTAGTATGTTATTATGGATGATAACGACTACCAATTTCAGCTTTTCACAGTTGTTATTTCTAACAAATATTAGGTTTAAAATTTTTGTCCCTTAGTTTTGGACGCTACTATATATATATATATATATATATATATATATATATATATATATATATCCTGGTAAGATAATTGATTATATATATATATATATATATATATATATATATATATATATATATATATATATATATATATATATATATATATATATATATATATATATATATATATGTTATTGCACGCATGTGTGTTTGTGTGTATGTGTATAAAGTATCGATACATTATAAATTTGGTCAAACAGATTAACTCTAAAATGTATGTATGTATATATATATATATATATATATATTATTTAAAAAATATATATATATATATATTATTTATCTTCGGATATTACACCGAAAACAAGTCAAAATCGCTACATAATTGCAGTCGGGTTTCGATGCGTATCATTTATCTTACCAGTATATATATATATATATATATATATATATATATATATATATATATATATGTCTCTGTGTGAGTGTTTGTGTGTATAAAATACCGATACTTTTGGCAAATTTGGTCAAACGGATTTATATAGATTGTATAAAAATGATAGAAAATTGTCTTCCGTTATCTGAATTATGTCTCAGTGAAAAAGATCTTATCATACATTGTCTAAAGACCTTATCCTGAATAAAAATTCTTTTTAATAAAATCAATGAAAACGAAAAGTATTCTTTGGTTTTGCCTCCAACTTGTCCACATTCAGTTTTCTGAAATGGTAAGATTAAATTGTAATCAATAATCTCAGTTTTACAGTTGAATTCACTTTGATCTATCGACTTATTTCGTCGAAAAGTTTTATACCTAAAATGAATCAATGAACTTATGGATAAAGGCGCTAATGAGATGTATTTATAAAAATTTTAAAAAAACTGAATAAGTGAGAATTATCTCTTCGTCTTGAAGCAGTTGTTAGCAAACTGCTTTCACAAACCATTACATTTGCACCGATTTCACTTCTGAATGGTTGACCAACGCCGACGTTATTTTTACTAAATATTCAGCTTAATACAAGGCCTAAGAGCCACTCAAGGTAGATGGTTACTGAACAAGTTTGTTGTATGAATCTAAGAGGAAGAAATAAGTAGTGGATAGTTATTGGTTAAACATCGACTTGAAGACATTAATATTGTAGTAATCGGGGAAGCATCCTCTTGAGAGTCTGTTACATAAAGTAGAAGTTTATAAGAATCTGTCCGAAGAGAACTTCCTTCTTACCAAAGAATGAGGATGATTCAAACCCGTGTACGTGACATGTTGGTTACTGGTAAAGACCTGGCTTGATGGAACTATGACATGCAATTCCATATTCCGTGTAAAGCGACAGAGTAGCGATAGCCTAGCGACGTTTCACGTCTTACTGTATGACATACTAAACAATACCGAGAAATTAGTTAGGATACCTATTTAATGTTTGTCTCACGGGCCTTCGATGCTGCAATAACTAGAGTCCTCGCCGGATGATGCAAAATATTGTCAGCGTCGTAAAATAAACGGAGTAAAATCCTATTCTTCGGTGTTGCAGGTCAGTCTCTCAAAAAACAAAACCGGGTCTAATTTAACCTCGTTTAGAAATAACCATCGAGTGTTACTGGAATTTAAAATAGTATTTACTGTTAGAGGATTCTAAGCTAACTCGATGTCCTATCATGATTTATTGTTAAGCACAAACTTAACAACAGAAGATACGCAGATGGTACTGTAGTGTTGGTAGACGCCGAAAGAGAACTGCAGGAAATCTTAGACAAATTAGTAAAATAAACTTGGTAGAAAAGACATACAATTCATTTTAAAATAAACAGTGTATGAGGGCCATTCAAAAAGTTCTAAGCTTCACTCAGAAGGAGTTGGAAAAACAAGATAGTTTTTCACTATTTTTCAATATAGTCCCTCTTGACATAATTGCAGTCGTGTTTTGGTGCGTATCAATTATCTTACCAGGATATATATATATATATAACACACACACACACACACACACACATATATATATATATATATATATATATATATATATATATATATATATATATATATAAGCATCACTGGATCATTACATATATATATATATATATATATATAGCATCGCTGGATCATTACATATATATATATATATATATATATATATATATATATATATATATATATATATATATATAATGATCCAACGATGCTTAAGCATTGCAATCACGTCATAAAAGTTGGTAGTGTCCTGGTCCTCCAAAAACTCCTCCACGGCATATATGATCTCATTATTGTTTTCAAAGTGGCGACTGCAGGCGTGGGATTTGAGTTTAGGAAACAGGAAGAAGTCAGATAGAGCTAAGATTGGAGATTAAGGGGGACTGAGTAACAATTCATAGCTACAGTTGGCGATTTCAGCTACTGCAACCCAAGCAGTGTGAACGGGCGTGTTATCCTGGAGCGTTCGGCTTGATTGGCTCCTTCAGTTGTCTTAATTCTGATGCAAAGTACTGTCAGCTTATGCTCTGATGTCAATATTCTTGGGGCTCATCTTGCAAACACCTTGCTCATTCTGAATTTTTCAGTTAAACAGCATGGGCCGAACCAGAACTAAAGTCTATGGACTTAGGTATCAGGCTGGACAGTAAAACATCTCTCATTCAAAACTATACAGTGAATAGCATCAATTTATCCATCAGTGGTTATGGTGTTTGGACGACCTGGCCGAGGGTCATCTTGAGTACTGTCCCTGCCCTGCTAGAATTCCACAGTTGCATAGGAAGAGGAGATCCTGATCAAATATCTACACCATATCCTCATAAATTTCCATCGGTATCATATAATTCTTTTGCATATACTTCATGATTGCTCGGCTTTTCTTTTGCCAATTTTTAGATTTATTGCACACCTCTCACCTTGGTATGGGATTCAACTGCAGAGAAATTAAGACAGAATTCTGAATTAGGTTTTTCTACATTATTTACATTATCCGTATAATTGTCATCACCTTTGTCGCCATATTTATCACAACGTTTCGGCCGTTGTACGCTCCGGGCTTCCTCAGGTGGTTGTCAGTTATCAGTTATCTCCTGCTAATTTGAAAGTTCTCCACTGCCTTAACCGGGTATTGAACTCACACACTTTGGGTCCTGTCACTGGATCTAACCAACGCCTTTATCCACTGTGCCATGTATCCTGTGTGAGTCCAATACCCGGTTAAGGAAGTGGAGAACTTTTAAACATGGCACATGGAACTGGAACAGTCTACCCCAGTGAGCGAAATAAATGGTTCAGTTCGAAATTCCAACCACTGAAGAAGGCCGGAGCGTACACCGGCCGAAACGTTGTGATAAATATGGCGACAAAGATGAAGACAATAGTCCGAATAATGTAAATAATGTACATAATACCTTATCTCAGAAATATAGACAGACTAGGTTTTTCTAATTTTATAAGAAGTGGTAGTGTGTTGCCGAAAGAAAAATGTTCAGCTATGGCACTTCTTTCTGGGCGAGGCTTAGAACATTTTGAACGATCCTTGTATAGCCGTGAACAAGAGATGAAATCCAAGACACGAGCTCTGGATGGCAATCGTCAAAATTAAGCAAAGCGAGCAATTTAAATATTTGTAAAGTCTTTTAAGAGAAGAAGGAAAATGTGACAGACAAAATCCAAACGCGCACTGGAATAGCGAAAGATGTCTTCCAAAAGCTAAGCAAAGTATTAAGAAACAGGAAACGTCCGTTAGAAACAAATATAAGAACATTGAAGAACTAAGTAAAATCAGTCCTTCTACATCAGTGAATTCTAGATAAAGAGTAGATTTGAGACAACAGAGATGTGGTTCTATAAAAGGATACTTAGAATATTAGAGACGGAACATGTAAGGCACTTTTAAAGAGACTGCAAAATAACACATACTTAGTATTAGAATTACCGTTTTTGGGGGTAATTTGCAGCTATTAACATATCATCGTAACTAATAACCATATGTAGCAGTTAAGAATAAATTTGGATTACACTAACATACTTTAGTTTTTGAACGTTAGTGGATGATAGGAAAAGACTTGTTTTTACGTTTCATACGAAAATGCATGACAAATGCATGAAACTATTTGTTTTTCCCCAGCTTATGGGTTAAATAACAGAGTAGACTAGGCTTCTCTAAGAAGCAACTAGTCTTAGAGAAGGAAAATCTCTGAATTCCTAACCTTAGAAAAGACAGCAAGAAACCGTTCCACTAGCTTAAGAAAAAAAATGATGGCAATTAGCAGGTAAAAAATAAATAAGCGACATTTTGAGAGATTACTTCCTGAATGAAGATGCCCTTTTTTTAAAAGAAGAAACAAAGAAATAAGTAAGAGAGAACTAGAAAAAGGTCGGATAAAACCCGATGCTGCACTTTTAGATTAGAATGGAAGGAGAAGTAATATATGACGAAGGATATTAAATGAAATATGAGCGCTTAGAGTTTTTAAAAATGACGACGTCTCAGAAAAAAAGTGACAAAGAAAAAAGAAATGGTTAGTCACAGAGGCGCTGATTAACAGCGTGAGAAAGTGTCAAAATAAAGAAAATCACAGACAAAAGAAGCTGGTCGAATTAATGTAAAAGAGATTCACGGAATGCTGCCTCTAATTCAAAGTCGCGAAAATATGAAAGCCAGGGCGTCGATGAAGTACGGAGTGACGAGAATCGATGAGGCGACCAGGAAAAGGGGAGGTAATCCTCTCCGCCTACTCAGCTCCAGATCGTGCTTGGTCTGCTCACAATTTGCGTCCGTCTGATTTCGAAGGCTGACGAGAGAGAGAGAGAGAGAGAGAGAGAGAGAGAGCGAGAGAAAACACACTTTTGAGAAAGAACTTCAATTAAAATTAAAGCAAATAAACTCCTGTACTTCTTTCCTTTTCCATTTGAATTTGCTTGCTTCTCTAAGATTTATTCGGTGAATCAGCGTTTCTTTTAAGTGCTCCAGTTGCGTCACGTTCCATAAAGTGATTTGAATTCAATGATCGATTTTTAAAAAGAAAAATTCTCCAACTTACGGCAATTTTATGGAAAGTTTTACAGGGCTCTATTTGAACTGGCGAGTGGAAATGTCAATAATTTTACGATGATTAATTGTGCGTCAATTATTATCAAAACCGTAATTCTCATTACATTTTTAATATTTATACTTAATATTCATTAACTTTCTTTTTAATTATAATATTTTTGTTAAAACTATCTTTTATTTTCATTTCCTTGCTTTTCTTCTTCTTCTTCTTCTTCTTCTTCTTCTTCTTCTTTCCGTTAATTATTTATTATTTTTCTTCCTTCTTTACCTGAACCTACCTTTTTTTTTAACCGTAAGATTCACCCTGTACAAGGCCCGAGGGTCACTCGAGGTAGAGGGTTACGTTAAGGGGTAGTTTATATGGATAGGAGGAGAAGTTAACTGTCGACTCTAGACTTGAACAGGTTAAGATTGTAGTGATCGGGGACACATCCTCTTGGGAGTCTTTTCCACAGGTCTGCGGGATAAAGCTGTTTGAGTGAAACTTACCTCTGGCCGATGTATCTTTTTTTTCTTTACACACTTCATCCAATAATCTTCTTGAAATGCCTTCATTCTTCCAAATTCATTTTTTTTTCTTTTCACATTCATATTCTACTTTTTTCTCTTTAAAAAAAATTCTAAATTTTTAATTTTTTTTCCCCATTTTTTTTTTATCTAGATTACTACTACATATTTGCAATTTTCTTGCTATTTTCTTTCGTCTTGTACCTTTTTTATTCTTGTTCTTTTCAATTTCCCCTCCATTTTCAATCATCCATTTGTCTTCGTTTTTCTTTTTGACTTTCCTTCTTACATTATTTCTATGGAGTCCTCTAGGTTCTTGAACAGTATACTTCTTTCTTTCTTTCTTTCTTTCTTTCTTTCTTTCTTTCTTTCTTTCTTTCTTTCTTTGTCTTATGATTCTTTCTTTTGGTTTTTCTTTTTTTACTTCTTTATTGTATATAGCTTTTTCTTTTTCTCTTTCTTTTGTCTTCTGCTTCTTTTCATCTTCTTTTCATTTTCCTTCTTCTTATTCTTTCACTTGGCTTGTACTATTTCTCTGTTTAGTCCTTTTCTTCTTTCTCCCCTTATCCCTTTCAACCAACTTATTTCATTCACTTATCTTTCATTGTTCCATGTTCGTCTCATTACCAACCTCATTTAATTCTTTTCTTTTTTAATATCATCATAACAGCGCCTCTTAACATTATTCGGTTCTTCTAAAAAAAAAGTCTGTTCTTTAGCGGAGCCACTGACTGAAGACAAACCAAGAACTCAATAGTCATTTTTATTACTGACTATTTAGTGTTCTCTTATTGACTAGAGATTATATTAAACCGGTGAGACGATCGTAAAACAATCACAATGGATTTTTTTATGGAGCTGCAGTGAAAATAGTTATGTTTATACTAATAATAATAATAATAATAATAATAATAATAATAATTATTATTATTATTATTATTATTATTATTTGGAACCCTCTGATTGATTGGAAAATGCTTCAATACACATATTGAAGACATTCCTGGTAGCCGATAGCCTAAAGAAATACAAAAAATTGTACTTACACGTACAGGGCACAAATTACGAAGAACTTTATCTATGTAAAAAATATATCATAATGATTTTTTTTTATTTTCTATTTTTACAAAAATGATCATTGAAAAATATCATGACGCCATTTCTGATCTTAGGTCTCAAATAGAAACCTAAGGTCAGAAATGTCTTCATGACATGGAAGAAAATGCGTTTACAACAGGAATGAAAGGAAATAATAATAATAATAATAATAATAATAATAATAATAATAACTGGACTATGGTATTAATAATAATAATAACTGGACTATGGTATTAATAATAATAATAATAATAATAAAATCCAACTAATACTACTGCTACTACTACTAATAATAATAATAATCATATTAAGAAGAAGAAGAAGAAGAAGAAGAAGAAGAAGAAGAAGAAGAAGAAGAAGAAGAAGAAGAAGAAAATATTGCAAAATAATGAAATATAAGTTTCTTGAAATTAAATTGAAAAGTTGTTGGATAATTCCTATAAAACCCTATAATATTTGACCCTATTGCTATAATATTGGAGCCTCGGCTATCATTTTAAAATGACAGTGACAAGAACATTCACAAAACACATGGATTCCACTGTTTACATGATTTGTATAAAAATGCACTGAGTATTACCTTTATTTTATAACAAATACACCGAAAAGAATTATATACACAGTTGTGGGCAGGACGATCACCCCACATCAGTTCGATAATTAAAAATAAAGCTATAATATCCCAAATTTCAATCAAAACTTCATGTGCACTTTTCACAAATGATGAAGTAAAGGATTTGAAAAAAATTGTGCAGTGATGCCTACAACAAAATTGTATTTTAATATCAAACAATAATACAAAAATATCTAAAAACATCTAACATAGAACAAAATTATTGGCCCTCTTCCCTCAATAATCAATTATGTAACAATTATTCTTGATTAATGCCTCCAATCGTTTTTTGGTAGTTCCTTAAAAGATCATTAAAAACACTGATAGATATTTTGCTCCATTCTTCCTTGGCAACAGCTTCTAATTCCTGCACATTCAAAGGACTTCTTCCTTTTAAATTTTTACTTTAAATATGCCCATAAATTTCCATTGCGGCTTAGGTGGGGACTTTGTGTGGGGAATGCCAATACCTGAATTTGGCTGTCATCTAAGTATTTTTTTAACAATTCGTACAATGTGTTTTAGGTCATTATTATGTTGAAACGTCCAGTGACGCTCCAAAAACAGCATACACATTTTTTTTTCATTTTTTTATGAATGGTAAAAATACTGCTCTTTATGTATGTTACCCTATACTGTCCTTAGTTCTCCTGATCCACAAGCAGCAAAATATCCCCAGAGCGGAATACTCCCACCACCGTACTTAATTGTAGGGAGAGTAATTATTGGTTTATGGGCTTCATTCACTTTCGTCCATACATAACTGGAGTTCATGTGACCAATACTTCTAGTTTAGTTTCATCTGACCATAAAACAGAGTTTCAATATTTAATTCCATGTTCTCGATGACTTCCAGCATAATCTAATCTGCATTTTAGTGTTTAGCCTTAAGCAATGGAGTGGCAAGCTCGAAGTCCTGCTTAATGAAAGCATCTTGTGACTGCCTTCGTCGTTACATTCAACCTTGATGTGTTTATATCATTGAGAATGTCTTTTTGTTGCTAAGTGAGGAATCTTCGAGACATCTCTAAGAATTTTCCTTTCCATTCTCTCAGAAATAGAACGTTTTCTGCCAGTCCTTATTTTATTCTCAACACAATGAGTATCGTTGTACTTCTTCATAATACTACGAATTATTAATCTAGTAACATTTAAATGCTTATAGACAGTTGTATATCCATTACCTGGTTTATACTCATTAACTATATTTATTTGGAGTTTCTTGTCATGTTCAGCCGTATTCGCCATGAGTGCAGTACGAATGAGTTATCGCGGTACGTGACACTCACATATTGTCTTCATCATTACCTTTTAGAATGTTATAGAATCTGGTATTTATTTTCAAAGGGTATTTATCTTAAATGTCAACTTAAGAAATATGTATAATTATAAGTGGTGCGAGTAATTTGGGATTGCACCAATTTTTAGAAAATCTATAAGTATGAATAAAATTCATTAAATACGGAATCAACTATTTATGACAAATTCGGTAAGTACTTGCAAATATTCGCATTTCCTTAGAAATAAGTTGGAGGGGTGTAAATAATTATGTTCACAACTCTCTCTCTCTCTCTCTTTCTCCCTATCTCTCTCTCCCTCTCTCTCTCTCTCTCTCTCTCTCTCTCTCTATATATATATATATATATATACAAGTGAACATTGAAGTCAATACTTAGAGGCGACAGGCTGTTTCATGCTAGACGAAATCGATTGGATTACAATACGTCTAGCATGAAAAACAGCCTGTCGCCTCTAAGTGTTGACTTCAATGTTTACTTTTATATTGAGCACTTTATCCCATAAATATAGCACACCTTAAGAGTATATTTCTTCATATATATATATATATATATATATATATATATATATTACATCGAACACTATTTTATTAAAATCAGCACGTTCGATATTATATATATATATATATGTATATATATATATATATATATATATATATATGACAGATGCCAGCCGAGTCGAATGCACAACAATTTAAATCTTCAGAAAGTGTTTCTTTTGAAGAATATTTCTTGTAACATTAAAATAGCCAGCCCGATGTTCGTATGTCAAAATAAATCTTAAGATCACACAGACAGAAAATATAAAAAAGCGAGAGGTCGCTACAGTTACAGGCCATTTATAAAAGTAAATAAATACGTGTTCAAGAATTATTAGTTTGTGCTCCCTTCGTAAAAGGCATACGTTCATTATTCGATAAAGTGATATCGTTAATATATTCTTTAGAAAAACACAATCTGTGAACAGAGATATTTTGTAAAGTTTCTCTAAGAAAAAAAACAAGAAATAAAACATACTTAATTAAAATGAAATAAATAGGCGGCTTGCTGATCTACAGAGTGTTCCGAAAGTCTTGTCATCCCCTACATAATATAATTTTCTATTTCAAATGGCTGACACGAAAATGGTGTTCATACAGACCTTCTCGATGTCCAACAGTATCAATGAAAGTAAATAAATTGAATCCAGTGCATGTGCATTGTATTACAGTATTACTTGTTCTATTGTTCTCATGACTTTTGGGTTGGTGATGACAAGTCTTTCGGACCACCCTGTATGTTGCTCACAAGAATAAAATATAGGATTTTAAAATGTGTAATAATGTTCTCGCTTTAAATGGAGTCACTCATTGATCACAAGAAAATAAAAAAAAAAAGAAAGATATAAAAAAAATAAAAAGCCCTCGGAGTCTAACAATAACAACAATAATCAAATAATGAAGTATATAAAAATGAATACTTAGAAGATTCTGCGATTGAATTCGAAAACGAGGCAAAACAACCACATATTATTAGTCGCCATCTTAGTTATTTGAATTTAAATACTTTCATTGCTTTGTCCATTTCTTGTTATATTACTGTTTTTATTTATTTATCCGTTTCTTTGACGACAAATGAATTGTCTAATTCATTTTCTCTTTATTTGTTATTCATGAAAATACAGTAATATTATTTAATTATACAGTTCTTTGACTCATTTCTTTATATCAAATTTCAATAAAATTAGTTATTAATTAGTTACATCGCTTTCTTGCTTCATTAATTTAGCTTTTAACAACGTATAAATTATTAACTGCTTTTCATTTATATCTGACGGCTAACATAGAGCGATCGCCACTGAGACTGGGACAGTTTCTCAGGAAGTGTTTTGCTTTCTACGCGATTTATCTGTTGTTTTTTCATAGTAATAAGTTCCAATGGATACGTTAATGTTTACAGCTTAAGTTAATATAATGATTCATAATTATGGCTAAATTGCTTATTGTGTCCATAATTCTAATTTCGCTAACTTCTCTTTTTTTCTCTTTCTCATTTTCTTTCTTCTCTCTCTCTCTCTCTCTCTCTCTCTCTTTCTTTCTCTTTTTACCTCTCTCTCTCTCCCTTTCTTTCTCTCCTTAGGAGCAAGAGACGGATTACTTTACGAAAGGGCAGATCCTACCTTTTGCAATTCAGGTTTTGATAGGCAATGTGGATTAAACGTTTCGTCAGATTTTCACATGTCATAGTTCACAGGATAACAGATGCGATTAATTATTACGAAATCAGCAAAACAAATCGGGCCCACATCTTTTAATACATGTCTTTATACCGAAGCATACTTAAAATTTAAGGATTATAGATTGAGAGTAACACAAAAAACGTAAATGAAAATAAAATATTTCGAAACAAATTTTAAAACAAATCAATTTTTTCAAATGTGCTTATAAATATATTTGAAATTTATATTTATATTCATCATTAATTAATCATAGCTAATGATCGGAAGCTCATGAAAGATTGAAATAAAGTTCTATATATATATATATATATATATATATATATATATATATATATATATATATATGAACTTTATTTCAATCATGAAAATTGGAATAAAGTTTATATATATATATATATATATATATATATATA